TCAACCCTTATATATAGGAATGTTTGAATTTAACGTGATTTATAACATTTCTGCAAAAAATTTATAAATCGTGATTATTGAGTAAATCGTTAAAAAAATATGCATATTGCACGTTAAATTATTTTACATACGTTTGAAATACGAGAACATTAAATTTTGTAATTAAGATCAGGAGGTTGCGCATGAACCATTAAGAGAAATCTCGTGTCGATACGCTTGAGAAATTTGATCAACGCAATTCTGAATAATTAAAAGCGAGATCCATTTGAAATCTCAGTTTCTACCAGAGATGAATACATATCTAAAAAACTGTAATTAATCTGCGTCGATACAAATCGTATCGGATGCAATCAGTAAGGGTTGATGTAATTTCAAGGATAATTATGATAAAAATATATATAAGTGTAACATACAATGCGAATACAAGGAAACGAAACTTACAGCTTCAGAAAACTTGTACAATTTTCAAAAGTCCATTCTCAAGATAGTAAATAGAAGTACTAATTATAAGAATTTCATTAACAATTTTCCGTTAAATAAACAATTACAAGACAGTTCAATGGTTACATTCAGTTTCAATGGTTGTCAACTTGGCGAGCACTTGGTTAGATACAAAATTGTAGAAAAAATTCGAAAATTAAAATTATAGTTTCGACTAATTTATACTACTAACAAAAAATTAATGAAGATTGAAAAGTTTTACGCGTTCATCGTCGGGAAACGCGATGACAACCGGATGTACGTAAATTGGCGCGATGAAAATGAACGAGCATAGGGAAGATACTAAATCCGGGTTAAAGGACTCGTCTGGGTCAGCTTCTGTCTCTTAATAACACGTGTAGCATAACCCCGGCCATAAACTGTCGCTTTGCGACACAACCGAGACCCCGAAGCGTGTCTGCGTCCAAAAGCTGGCATAAGTGAATTTCACGCAAAACGTTTCCGCCGGCATCTGGGCACGCTGTCGCGTGAAATGAAAAAGTTACGCGGGCAAAAAACTCCCGTGATGCGGTGGCACACTTTTTCAGTAATATAAGGCCTGGTAGGGTCAGTGATATGATACTCTACGCGGACGTGTGCGATATGCAATTGTTCGTAAGAAGAGTTGCATATCTACCTTATGCATTTTTTGAATTTGGATGCAAATGGTTAGGAATTTTTAAAGTCGAGTTATTTTTACTTAATTCTGTTTTCTTTATTCTCGAGAATTTGTTTATTGCCTTTTGTATCGAACATATTATAAAACAGTATTAGCGTAACACTGTTGATATATTAAGGAGAAAACAGAACATATTAGGAGACTATGACACTTGAAGAATTAATTCTTTGGTCTTTATAAAATTAATTTGTTTTTGATATACATGTGTTAGCATCTATATTTTTAAATGAGTATGTTAAAATATGTTGTTTTCATTAAAAATATATGTAAGATGATACTTACATGATGCAATAATATATAAATTGTGACGTGGATTCTCAAGGACGACACGTCCCTCCTCGTCATTGATGGTTTCTTGGGCGCTAGGTGCAATTGCACCACCTCGACTCACTCTCGATGTTTGGTAGAGGGGAGTGGGTTCCTCGGTGATACAAAGCGCTGGGCACGATTTCCTAGGATCTAGTTATTTATTTCCCAGCTTTCGCTGGAGTCCAAATTTACACGATACACCACTTAAATCTAGAACAAAACTTAAAACTAAAAATGTAGCATACGAAATTCAAGAAATACGAAAAGCGAGCGTACGAAACTTCTAGAGCATAAGAGGGTGGCCGCCGCGCGGTGCGAGACGCGAGGCACGGACCACGAACTCGCGAACCTTCTCGCCTAACGACGCGACTATTGACAACCGCAGCCGCGGATAGCAACCATGCGATATAAATTGAGAGCTCGTAGAGGCATTCGGTCTATTTGCCATTCCGGGAAAGAGGACGAGGTAAGACCATCGGCCGCTCTCGGATCTCGGCTTAGGGACTCCGGCAGGAGAGTTCGGCGATAATACCTGGACGCATGTCGAATGGGAGAGAACAGAGCTGCTTGTGACCATCCCAGGGAGAGGACGGGAGTATGTTCCTGGTCGCCTACTCGACAAGGAGAGTTCGGCGATAATACCTGGACGCCTGTTGAGTAGGAGAGAACAGAGCTACTCGTGGACATCCCAGTTAGAGCTAGGGGGAGGTTATTTCTGGACGCCCGTTCGTTTTTAGAGAGTTCGGCGATAATACCTGGACACCAATTACGAGCGGGAGAGTACAGAATGATTCTTCTACTTCAAAGATTGAAAATTGTAAAATATTGTAAAATGGGAAATTGTATTATGCTCTTTTATATACTTCCGTCATTCTGAATTCCTGTTACAATTATCCATTCCCAATCCTCTGTATAACCATGTTCCTCACAATAAACCTTTGTCTGCCTAGAATTCATTTCCTTGATTCCTTAACCATGGCTACAAAAATAATTAAACCGCGCCATGTCGGTGGGGATCTCGGTGGGGAAGCAAATGCACGAGAACGGAGAACTCTTCGTGCAATCGAATCGGTAGGAACGACCTGCACGAGAAGGGGAACTCTTCACGCAGTCGGATCGGTCGGGATGCAAGTCGCACGAAAAGAGAGCACTCTTCATGCGCTTGTATACGGTAGGAGCGATCTGCGCGAGAAGGGAAAACTCTTCACGCAGTCGGATCGGTAAGGAGAAAACAGCTTCGCGAGGAACTCTGGTCGGCGTCTTTGCGGTTCTACACCGCGGGGATATCTGATTTCGATGTTCGACGAGCCACCTTATATACTCATTTCGGCCGCTTTGCCGAGATGGTATGTGTTTGTCGGTGTGTCGAAATTGCCGTTAGATATTGTTTATCGACGCTGTCTGGCACCGGCAGCCAGTGTTTACGTCCGCGACTGTTGTTAGTTTTTGTCACCGACGGTTACGTAGCGTGGGAACGCGGTTGCCGCGGCCGGCGACTCGGTAAACGTTCGATGTGTGTAATTAATCTTATTCTATGTAGCGAAGCGATTCTCCGTCTTGTAACAGATAACGCCGGTTTTCTGTTACAAAATATATAAATAATCTTCTGAGTGTAAAACGACAATCAATTCCTTCATTTATTTCAAGTATTATTATAAAAAAAATTTATGATTTCCTAGTAAAAAAGAGTAAAAACCAAATATACGTATCATCTAAACCAAAAATACATATCGTAAAAAACAAGGACCATATTCAAGTAGTCTCGTATAATTTTTGCAGCACAATATTTTTATGGGTTGATAGTTTAAGAGAATGTGAAAGGAAAGGAATTTTTCTTTTCAGCTTCGAAACGACAAAAGCGTGGGGGATTAAAAAGAGAATGAGCAGAGGGGCCCGAGACGTCCCGTTGATAAATCCTTGCGTGAACACAGGGTTCATTTCCTGTCGCCTAATAACGCGTGCATCGCACACTATGCGACGCACAGTCAGCCATAAACCGTAGAGTCGTAACAGAGGATCGAACGTCGCAAAGCGAAACCAAGTACTCGATGCGCGGAAACAAGCGTGCAAAGCCGTTTCCATGCTCGTACGCGCCGTCGTATTGCGCCCACCCCTGGTTAAAGGATACGTATCACGGAATCCTGTTGGTATCTTAGTTGGCTTTATTTCCGTTATCTCCGCGCCAGACTAAACCGGAATCGTTTCGACACATACCGCGCATTTACGATACTTACTCTCGCACCTGGCCAAGCATTCGCGATCTGACGTATTCCGATTTGATTTATTCAAATGAGTAAACGGATATGTTTTTCGAATAAATTGTAAACCAATTAAAAAACAAAGTTGAGCACTGCAAACTCACTCATGAATATTTATTTAAATACATAGAATTCTGTAACTCTAGACAACAAATTATTTTGAATGGGTGGTGAATTTGATGTATGTTGGAGTTGGTCTAGGCTCGATCGTACCTTTTCTACTGATGGATAAGTTCGGTCGTAAGGGGACGCTGCTGTTCGCGACGATACCAATGATTTTGAGACCTTAACAAAATGGAAACACATAGGTGATGCGTTAATACTCCTTATATCGTAGAAAACCAAGATCAATCAAGAATTTTTTATCTTTTAATAATTGTGCCTAGCTAATAATGTTTTGAAGGGTTATCAAATGTTTTATTTAAAACGTTTCAAATCTGGGACTTTCAGGCCTTGGTAAACGGAAGGTCTAGATTAATAGCTATTTGAAATTCAAAAATAATTAAGAAAATTCTTGTGTAATGTGTTTCTCTTCGTTATTTTCCAGAATTATTTTTGAACTTTAAATGGAAATTATTTCAATCATCGAATGTATTCTTTCATCGAGTCACGTGTATGTTAAAAATTCAAGAAGATTGGAGGAAAATTCAACTGAATATTTCCTTAATAAATTGAGAAATATTTGTAAAGACGAAATTTTATGAACTGAGATTTCTGAGTACAATTGTTATAACAATCATGCTTGTGAATTATGTACATGAAAGTTTCATAAGAGTTCATTTATAGTCAATCCAAACATAGTTATATCATCAATTAGTTGAAATGTAAATTCCATATTTTTAATCCTAAGAATTAATATTTATTTACTCACCAAATATTTGTAGGTCTTTTCTTATATTTTACATTCTTATATACTTTCTTACTCTATATTGTATTTTTACTATACAGCATACACTTTTTAATACTACATCATATACAAATTAAATTATCAAACAGGCTTCTATTTCATTCCATTTAAAGTGTGTTATTCGAAAGAGGATCTCAATATAAATTGAAAAAGTATACGTATATAAATCAATATTTTGGTTTCGCTTAAATTACCAACGGATACCATGTTCCCTTTAATTAATGCTCAAGCATTTTTCATATGGTACTTGATATTTATCGCGTACATCTGATATTATTCTCTTGTACACAACTGAAACTAATTATTTCAACAACTCTCGTGAACTGCCCAAGCAACCGAGAATAAACAATTTGTTTACGCATTCCAGAGCACTTTTATCGTTCGAACCAATGAAATCCATTCGTCCACACTCGAATACACATTCCAACGTTAATTTCAATCCGTCGCATCGAGGTCTCTCAACTCCAAAACCTAGAAAGAATAAACGATAAAAAAATGTTCAATCTTGGAATACTACGGCAAATACTCATCGGGATAGTCTGTAAGTACCTGTTGTCTTCGGTGACAAAAAAGTTGTTCGATCAATGGACGAGGAGTTAATGAATTAATTCGAACGTTGTGGGATTGGCACGTTCAGGCAATCTTCTGATCATCGACAGTGGAATGCACGAAGGATGGAGCACTCCGATCATACCAAAATTCGGAAAAGAGGATCCTTTGGACGTGTCCACCGACACGGTTGTCTGGGTGGTGAATTTGATGTATGTTGGAGTTGGTCTAGGCTCGATCGTACCTTTTCTACTGATGGATAAGTTCGGTCGTAAGGGGACGCTGCTGTTCGCGACGATACCAAAGATCGCCAGCTGGCTTCTCATCGGTAATGCAAACTCCGTTTTTCTACTTTACGTTGGTCGAATGTTGGCTGGAATTGGATGCGGAGTAACGTACACCGTGTTGCCCATGTACCTTGGCGAGGTTAGCAGCAAAAGGTCACGTGGGCCGTTAGGTACGATTATATTATGCTTCTTCCTTTAATTCAACTTTTTCTTTTAGCTGTCTTTTTTTTTTTAATTTAACTGCTTCTGTTTCTTTTCTTTTTATTTCTGAGACTTCTCGTCGAATTGTTCTGCTTTTAAATATTCAATTGAAATACTTGAATATTGAAGTATTTATTGTATTATATATAATCATGTTTCTAAAATTATTCGACTTTCTGAATAATACAGTAGAAAAATTCTACTTTACGTTTCAATGTGTAGGTAAGGTTCTTTTCATAAAATTAGGAAAATAAATAACTGGAGCATGAAAATTATATAAGATATCCCTAAAGTCTGAACACATAGGAAATACGTATCAGTCTGTCAGTAAATGTCAGAAATATTACATCTTGGCAATTTTTTTCATTGCCAATGTGTCCAAACATCTTGGGGCACCCTATATAGGTTATGCAACCACATGACGTGTTACAAAGTATAAATCTTTTACTCTGTCATTCTGGAAGTCCAATAATGATCTTTCTTCAACGTTACATACTAATCGCAATTTTATTTTGATATTCTATACACGCACTGAAATATTAAGTTATACCAACAGTCTCAGCCCTTCTTATAATTAATCTAACCCAATAGTTCTCAATCTTCATTCTATTGATTCATACATAATGACAAAATGGCACTCACACAATGGGACACGATGCGCGATGGTTTAAGTAAATAACAACTAACATAAATAAATCAGAAAACAACAACTAACACAACTAATATTTCATCATTAAAATTTATTACTTTAACACCGAATAAATACGTTTCGAGTAAACACTCAATGGAATCTATTTACCTGATATAACTCACAATTCAATATGAGCTGTGGAAAATTCACGCAGAGATCATTTTCAACATTGCAAAGTGTCGATCTATTCTTTTACTCCTTTCATTATTGTTTGCACTGGTGAAAATGGTGCTTCACGCCGACTGGCACCTTTCATTTCACTAAATTTATTCGGACCGTATTTATCTCTCTATAGAAATTTTATTCTATTGAATTCGTTCGTGGCTACTTTTTCGACACCCACGGATAAACAACGCCTCTCTTTTGAAATTTGGAATTTCGCATTAATCCAATAAAATGCAGTCTGATGATTCGAATGAACTGGAATATAGCATCTTTGTTTCTCAAGAATGAAATTCTGGGAAAAGGGGAATTATTTCTAAAGTCACTTTGTGCTTTTTATATGAAGTACTATGTTTTCGAGTCAGTATGTTACTTTTACAATATTGACACACGCATTTTTATGAGTACTGTGTATTTTTGTATGAATAAATTTGTATAACTTGACAAGGTTCTGAATATGAAACTACTACTTTTTGCAGATATTCAATTAACTACAAATGTATTATTATAAATTTTGGTTGATTTTAAAACTTGTACGGCATAATACTTTAAAAACTATCAGTTCTAGATCAGATACTCTTGAACTGATTTATTTTAATACTTATTACCCTTTTAAATTTATCATAAAGAACAGATAGTTCCATTTAAAATAAAAGAACTAATATTCATTCTACATTACCACCTACAACAAATTCTCAAATCAAATTTTATTCCATTTTTAAACCATTTAGCATTTGTTTCATACATTTGTACGAATGTGTAACTTTAGCGATCCATATCAGTCAAATAACACGCATCTGACCGACTAACCCTAAACAACTTCCAACAATAACAATAACAAAAAAAAAAAAAAAAAAAACGAAACACAAGATAATAGAAATAAGTAAATCGAGTTATACAGGTACACTGATGACGGTCCTCTTAAACACGGGAATGATGATATCGTACGCGGTAGGTCTATGGGTGAGTCGTTTCACGATGTCCATGATCGCCGTCTCGATCCCTATCATCTTCCTCGTGACGTTTATCTGGCTACCCGAAACCTCCGTGTTCCTAACCAAGAAGAACAAGCTGACGTCCGCGGAGAGGACGCTTAAATGGACTCTTGGCAAGGACGACGTTGTGGAGGAGCTGGAGGAGATCAAAAGGATAGTCGCCACGGAGGAGCCCACAACGAAGACGACTTTCCACGGGTCGTTGAAGAAGGCGCTGGTCAGGCGAGAGAATCTGAGATCCTTTCGTATCGCGATGATCGTTATGAGCGCGATGTGCTTAACCGGCGCGGCACCGCTTTTGGCTTATCAGTCGTTCATATTCGAGGAAGCTGGCTTCGATATCTCGACGAACGTCAGCATAGTAATGACCGGGTGCACGGTCGTGCTCGCGGGCACCGTCTGCGTGATGCTGGTGAGGATTCTTGGAAAGAGATTGCTGCTTCTGTTCTCGACGCCCGTCTGCTTGCTGTCGCTGGCGACGCTCGCGATCTTCTTCGGGCTCCTCGCGGGCGGCCACGACGTCTCCAAGCTCCGATGGATGCCCACGGTGTGCCTGGTGATTTATGTGTTCAGTTACGGCCTGGCGCTGAACCCTGTGCCCATCGCCTACGTGGGCGAGATCTTTCACGTCGACGTTAAGGTGCTCGCGGCTATAATCTGCTCCCTTTATTACGCCGTCGCTACGACCACCGTCGTGAAATTCTATCAGGTAGGTTTCTGCATGGCTGCTAATGACGCACTTGCGCCACGGGAACGATTCGCGAGCGTCGATGTGATTTAGGTCGATGCGAGACGCGTCCTCGGTTTGCGAGTCGAAATTTTCAACGCCTGCTGATGATCGTGCGGGGATGAGGGATTTTTTTTCCTTTTTAAAGTTAATGACGAAAATTGTGCAGAACGTATCTTAAGCACGTGGAAAAGAAAATATTTTTACTCATTTTATTATTATTCAGTATTCGATTTAAACTTTGAGGGATTCTTTTTATTTGTCCGTTTTGGACAACACAAAATGTTTTTTAGCTTCTTTTAGATACTACTGTGTGGTTTACAAATCTATATTTTTTATAACAGACGTAGATATTGAAATTTATATATTTAAGAGAATATCTAAAACTTTGTCGCAGATGTTTTAACATAAGCTGATGTTCTAAATTAAGTATCATGCGAAGGTGTATATCATCGCGATTTTGTTAACGCGAATCTATGTATAAATTCAGAATAATTTATTTCTTACAGACGTTAACTATAACATAGTTGTACATCAAACGACGATAAAGAGAAGCATTAAATGAACAAATATTTCTGATAATCGCTTAATTTTTGAAATTTCAATATTAATATTTGCATAAACTACCGAAAAGTCCCGAAATAGAATTGCAAACGTTTCTAATTCTCAAAATTAAACAAATTAATAGGACTGGTTAATCTACAGCCTCTTATCTGAGTACCAGATCAAAGATGACAAATTAAAACGTTACAAAATATTTCCCAATACTGGAAAATAATTTTCTCATGCATAATATTAATCATACTAAGATTATAGTTAGACTACAAACATTTATGCATTAATAACAAGTGTAAATACACAAAAATATACAAGGATGTGAATAAATGCTTAATTTCATGAAATATAACAAATAAAATATACATTACAACATTTAAAAGGAAAAATATATTTTCATTTAAGTTTCCATATTTCATTCATGTATAACAAAATTTGGTAATTATAGAGAACAGGTACATTCTCACCGATTTCGATGATTTTTAAATATGTTGTAGAAATCAACATTTTGAACAACTTTTTCCTATACAATAGTCGCTCGGCCTTAGTTTCCGAGATATTTGCCAAATACCATTGCTGCTACAACAATGAATATTGCGTATAGCTACGCGTCTGTGACAGCGTGTGTGTATGCGTTTGAGCAATGATATTTTGCAAATATCTCGGAAACTAAGGCCGAGCGACAGTTATATGTATAGGAGAAAGTTATTCACAATGTTGATTTCTACAACATATTTAAAAATCATCGAAATCGGAGAGGATGTACCTATTCTTTATAATTACCCAAAATTTGAATTAGCATGAACATCTGCAGTCTAATTATAAGTAAATAATACTCCTAACCTTCAAATCTTAAAATAATTTACTACAAGAAATGACTTTATCGAACAATTTATACAGATATTAAGTTGCTATATTTTATTTCAGCAGTACAAACAGGAATAATTGAATAATCGCGATGAACGATTATTCGAATTAAATTAAGAGCTCAAAGTATACGAATTAATAACAATGAAATGTATAATTCAATTGTTATTACGCAAGCTGTAATAATCCACGACAACATAAACCGTGTTATTATTTTTGGCTGAAAATATCGATGTTCAATTGTTACTTTTCGCGTTGTAATAATCCGTTGGGGGGAAGGGGGGAAATATCTACGTCGAATGTGTGATAAAGCTTACAATAATGTGAAAGTTTTATCTTATTCGTAGGTACTGCAAGAATCGTACGGAACGTATTTGCCTATAACAGTGTTCACTGCGATTACATTCATCATGTGGATTTTGATCTATCGATACGTGCCTGAGACGGAAGGAAAGACCTTGGAGGAGATACAGATAGAATTGCGTAGAAAACGCTGACAGTTTCCTCGACACAGAATCCCAAAATATTTAATGAAATACAATTTGAACCTAAAAGAATTTGTGCATTTATTTTGTTACCTTCCCGTTCTAAATTTCCTTATTTGGAGTCAGATGTGCGCATCCGGTATTCTTCACGTAGGCATAGAAGTTTCGGGACCAACACGAAGCAAGAGCGTAGTCCCTCGGAATCATGCAATGTACTTCCCCGCCACCCCTTGGCCTATGATTTTTGAGTATAAGAAGAGTGACGACGAAGGCATATCGGGTCTAGTCAAAGTTTAGAAAGGATTTTGTACACGTCTGTGCGTGCTCTTACGATATTTCTACACGAGGAACTTAGTGAGATCGGGTTCAAGTCCCCTTCGAGCAAAATCTTAACCATACAGTACGTAGTCTACTGTTAGGCATTATTTATCGTTGTAGTCGTCCCCCGTTTGCTCGCGTTCGTGAAAACCGAGAAGGATTAGATTCTTGCTTCGCGGAATCGAAACTATACTTTTAACTCAGTTCATATTTGTAACAATTTAGATTACCATTAGTACGCCGCGACAATTACTCTTATAACAATTGTAAGTTCCGGTGCATATCAGAATATATGTATAATCATTTTTAATTAGTGTTGATCAATTATAATACCCAGTCCAGTACCCACTAAAGTGTACCTTTGCCGCTCGAGGTATATCAAAAACTGTTACGAGGCTTAATACTAACATTTCCTGCGGTTCCCCACATTAGCCATACGTGGGTTCGTCCTCCATAACCAACCTCCTGGAGCTCCCTACGTTAGCCATACGTAGGTTCGTCTCCGCGTCTACTTCCTCAAGGCACCCAGTGTTATCTAACAACACTGGTCAAGCCATTAACAAAACCATATTCCGATAGAAAAACCCCGGCTACGCAGCCGCCCCCTCCGGCTCGCAACAATTTACTGAATCTTTGCAGCATTACGTCACAATTTAATGTTAAGAATATCTAACATCAATTCGCATGTCTTTCGATTCAATTTTGGAGTAAATTGGAAATTTTTTAACAAAGGTAACGAGACTCATAGTCGAATTTCACGTTTATATTATAGAATTCTTTTTCTTTTTGGTTTTATCTACAGCTTGAATGTTAAACTTCTTTGTTTAGACATACAGGTATCAGTATTTGTATTTAGAGCATATATTGTGTTAGGAGTTATATAAATCGTCGACAGTTAAAGACATTACCTGAGCCAGAGTAGTAGAAGAAAATCAACTTTGGAATTTTTTTACTGGTAACGTATTTATCTGTTTAGATCCAACTTGCTTACGTTTCAAAATATACATTTCTAGTCTTTATTGTAAGCTTCATATGAGTAGTACCTATTCACGTTCCGTCGGTATAGTATTAAGCTTGTAATAAAATTAGAAAAACTATACATTTTTTAAATAGCATTCTCCAATTGAATCTCAGAAAAGAACTGCATTCCGGGAATGTAAATACCAACATCATAAAATAATTTATACAACATGCATACCTTGAGTTACAGAAGTATTAGTGCCTCCTATTTTTTGCCAACTATGATATGTCTCGTAGTTGAAATTAATTGCAATTATTCAAGGAAAAAGTTTATAGCTTGAGTCAAGAGTTATTGCAAAAGAAGATTATACATTTTCCTTTTATAACATCAAATTTAATATCACTTTTTATTATCAAAATAATAACCTAGATTACATATATGTATTAAATTGTGGCGCCCAAAGGCAAAACGCTTTAAATTTGCCTGGGATTGAGTGGGTTAACTTGACTTCGAACGACACCATAGTTTCAAAACACAATGTTAATCGAGGCTTGTCAATGAATACATGCACTATACCAATTAAGTTCTTGATTAATGCAAGATTTTCTGAAACGTAACAATTCAATACAACTGTAGAAATGGAGTATAACAAATAGTTGTTTAAGGTATTTTAAAATTATAAGATGGTATTAATCATAATCATGGTACAACGAAATATTGACTACCAAAATACTGATTGTTTGGTATCCACTGTACGAATACAAACATTGTTGTCCAGTTTGTTCAAGTACAATGTATTTTTTTTACTGATGAAGAGTCCATAACATTTATCCTAAGCCAACAATCTGAATATAATACTTGTATGACTCTCTTCATACATTCATTTAATACACAAAGAATTTCGTAATCATTTATTATTGGAATTTTGAAACTGAAAGCTTCCCTCATAAAAGATCATCAAGAAATGCAAAAAAACCACAGGAGGGACAAATCTTGACGAATAGCTTTGCTTTCCCTCCGTTATATTTCACAACAGTCCTCCAAATAGACAAAGCAGATGATCAATACTCCTGATTCCCCAGAATCGGGGGTTACGGGGAGGGCCAGCTGTAATTTTGACAAATTACCCTCGAAACTGGGTAGGGGGAAGAAACAGACAGGAAGAGGAAGCAGGAAGAGAGTCGTGGGACTCGTTTGATCGCGAAGTTCGCTGTCTACAAAGAGAATCGCGAAGCAGCCAGATCTCGCGCACGATACGAGCGTTTCGACGTGAAACTATTTGAGTTACAGTCAAAAACGCGTGGGTGCCACGTAACCGAACTGTGCTTCCACGTTAACTTTCCTGTTCTGTTTATTCTAACAGGGCGTCGTTGCTAATTTGTTTGCACTCGCCGTGTTACGCGAAATTTCGCAGAACGAGATACACCATCCGACATGGCCGTCGACTAATGTCGAAATGCATGAGTGCATTTTTTTTTTAGCTAGCAGAAAGCAGTGTGTCCAACTGGAAAGATAAACTCGCTTTGAAGCTTTCACTGATGTAACGTGCAATTTTTGATTAGTTTCGGTGGGATTCAATAATAAATAAAGTAAATTCCTCGGTTTGGGATTTAGAATTTAGTTAATTACTCGTGGAATTTTAGGCAATTAAATAGGAAAGATAGTTTAGGTTTACTTGCTACTTGTTGTAATATTCAATTGTTATATAGTCACTTGTTACTGTTACATGTAGGTTTTGTGTCTTTGTACAATCTAGTGCTATTTGATTTTTAAACATAGTCCTTTTATCTCGGAATTTTTTTATTTATATTTCGTGATTATAATAGATACCGACATATCAAAATGAAATTTGAGCTGAAAGTGTTTTATAAAGTAAAAACTATTACCGTGTCATATACATTTAATAACATTCTCTAAGATGGAGCTTAGTTGCACTTAATGAAAACTGTTCTTCGAAGTTTTCGGTATGCAATTCCATGTGTCGTCTAATTTAGTAAAAAATCAATTTCTGGAAAAGTTCAAATTAAATGAAAAATGGGAGCACGCAACACAAACGGCTTTATGAAAAAGTAAATGAAAAAACACTCACTGTCAACGCCAGTAATCGATTCGCATTATTTTAAGCTTAAATTTCTGTAACTATAATGTATTATTATACAAAGAGATTGTTTGGACATAAATTGATAACAGTTTAAAATTGAATTAAACAAGGAAGCAAAGGTGTATACAAGTGTATGTATTTTTAATTGTTTACTGTTTTTATATTGAAAACCAGAGGAGAGAAAAAGCAATAAATTTCAATATACAATAATAAAATATTTTTAATTAAAATTTCCCATGAACACGACCTTATGTATCTTACTCATGTACAGTAACCTAACATACACCCTTGTCTATAAATCAAGAGACTCTTATTAAACGCAGAATAAAAACTAGTGATGCGCACGAGACGAGACGAGACGAGACGAGTCGAGATGAGATTTCTACGATTTCAATCTTGATCTCGAAAAATCTCGAAACATGCATATTGATCTCGAATTTTCGACAATTTAGAATATATGATCTCAATCTTGATCTCGACGAGATCTTGAGGAGATTTTGACAAGATTGGCAATTCAGTTCAAAATATGCCAATATCTGTTGTGTTATTACGAACGATATACAAGTTTCCCAGTTCTTAGATTATACGGGTTTAAGGATTACATTTCGCACAGAATCTAAAAACCTTAAAAATAGGATAATTTTATAATGCAAGAAAACAAAATCTCAGAAAATACGTTTGTTGTAGTTTGATCAGTAATTTAAAAACACAAATTGCCGTGATAATTGACTAACATTTTGCAGTATTAATGTTAATACATAATTTATAAAAATGAATTTTTCTGAAAACTAATTATAACCACGGTTTCTCACTGTTTTCCGTGTTAATCTAAATCTAATCTCACTTTACACTTTACACTTTTTATATCTAAAGATCTTATTACAAGTTCGCAGTCATTAGCTCGCTATTTTACTCGTGACGAATAATCCTTCGTCACGAATAATACCGATTACCAAGTCTCACCACGTGGAGGTTGCTGCGATTGCAGACCCGGGGATAGAAAGAATGAAAGTTCCTTCCATCTCCCTCTACATAGAGTATACATACGTAGACGCATACTCTACATAGAGTCGACAAGCTTAATACTAAGTACAAAACGATGAAAATCAAAGGAAAACAAAATTCCCTTCGATTTCCAAAGTCTAAGCCTGACTTTGCCAAATAATTATTTGAACTAAATGGAAGCTAAATGGAAATCGCGACACGACGCGACCATGAAACTGGACTTACAGAGTCAGTCCCGTTTCCTCTGGTGGGCCTGGTTCGCGAGAAAGACAATCAACGTCTCCGCTCATTGTTAGTACGCTACTCCCTGCATACCTGTTGCCGAGGGCCCGGTCCCGACCGGACAGTGTACGACGTAGGTAGCACCGCGTCGGGGTGCCTGACCCTGGCGACATCAAGTATGACTGACAGTCGAAGAGTCTCAGACGGAGTTCTACTCTCTGCACATCGTCAGGAGTCCAGGACCCGACTTGCACCCGTGTCACTGCACTTTTGGACTTACTGCGCCGCGCCGAGAACCTGGACTTCGCCTGACGTGTGCAGAGAGTAGAAGATTCCTCGGAGGCGTCCATTAGTCTTTCTCTCGAATTAGGCGCACTAGAGGAGGGCAACCGATCTCGGCCAGTCACACGGTTGGTCACGGCCAATCGGTAGAGAATTAAAACAGCGTTTTTGTGACAAAAATAATAACAGCAAACCGATTGTGCAGTTACATAAAAGAAGATGCGTAGATTAATAGGTATATGGTTTTCACTCCCAACTCTGTTCCGTTTTCTTGTTATTTACAATTTAATGCTAAAAAAACGTGATTTTTGTCGTTTTTTGCTTATAAATTTTAAACTAATGCAGCAATATCAATGCTCCAATGAGATAAAATGTAGGTGATGAAAATACCTACAGAATGAGACCTCGAACGTCTCGATCGGATAATGAGGAACAGAGAAAAATCTGGAAAACCGGAAAATTCGGCGTTTTTTCCAAAATTCGTATCTCCGCCATTTTTTAAACTGAAGCGCTGGCCTTTTGGGAACAAATATGTTCTTTATGTGTGCAAAAAGCGGGGATTGTCGGATAGGTGATTTTCTCACAATCGCAGTCTGAATTTTTTAATGCACTTTTTTCCATCGGGCCTGTATGCGTTATCGTAAGACCGATTTTTATTTTTAAACAAGATTTGAATAATTGACGTCGTGTACTACAAAACGTATATTCTAGTTTTTCGATCAAATGTGTTGAAATATGA